GGTCAAGGTCCAGGTCCATGTCTGGGTTCGTGTTTGGGTCAAAGTCCAGGTGGACGCAGCAATTAAGCTCACCTCGGCCAGCCATCAATCTGGCACCCGCGTGGTTCATGCTCTCTCTCATTCCCGTTCGGCGTCCCGCAGGTCGGGCGAGGTAAGGTTCCTCGAGCTAAGGGTCAAGGAAAGGCACCTTAAGGCACCTTAAGGCAGATGGAGGCAGGCAGTGGCCCGTGTTCCAGGTGTTCCGAGCCGTTTGGAGCCGGTGCCGGCCCCAGTTCGTCAACTTGACGTGGTTTCCTCTTTGAATAGAGTGCACCCGGTCGCATGAGGGCGCGTATCTTGGTACGGGCATTTTCTATCAAACGGGCAGCTCGCCGATCCCAGGTCCAGGTCGGGCCCTGTGCCATAATTATGGACGGAGACGGGACTGGACCGGCGGCGCCTCGATTGCGGGGTGGATTCGTCGCTTGGCGGGTTGACGGCGGCGCACAGGCCCCTTCCTGTTCCTAGCCGTCCACGTCCTCCAGCACCAGTCTCCGCCCGTGTGGTGATCCAGGTAGTGAGTGGCTTTTTATAGAAGGGAACCCCCCGTGGCCCCCCTGGCGCAGAAGAGAGCGAAAAAAGAAAGGTCGTTACCTACGCAGTAGGTTGATGGTTGACAGGGACAGGGACGGGGACGGGGACGGGGGCTCACAGACGCCAGCAGCTGGCCCGGTCTACGGATACGCAGTACGAATACCTACTCAGGTGCCGTTGGGTGCGGCGCAAGCAAGGTACCTGGGCGAGGTACCTCGACGGTGTGTCCCTGGGTGCCTTGACATGTACCTGGCCTAAGCCGCGCTAGCAGATGCTCCCAGCTGCGAAAAAGACGACCGTGAACCTGTGAGAGTGCGCCCAACCCCTCGCATGATGCAGCGAAAAAAGAGGGGCGGGGCAATGGAGGGGGTTGAGGAGGGGGAGGGGGAGGGGCACGGGAGGAAGAGGGAAAAAAAGTAAAAGGTACCTCAGCGGTGGAGGAGGGGCAGAGGGGTACCTGCCTCTCTCTGCCTGCCTCAACCTGGGCTCCTGCCTCTCGTTTGCATCTGCAAAATGCAGTGCAGTGCAGACGTGGAGCGTGCAGTCTGTTGCTACCTTTTTCTTAGATTGTCGCCGACCACTCTATTTCTCCCTCTTCGTCTCTGTGTTCTCTGTGTGTCTTTTTCAGGAAAGCACACAGATAGGTATGGATGGAAAGGGCAAGGATGTCGTTGTCGTTGTCGTCGTCCTGCTGTCCGTCTGCCGTACCTGCCGTGCCTGCTCCACTCTGCCTGCCTTACTTAAGGTAGGTACACACTTAGTATTGCGGGCATTGTTCACCGTGCCTTCCACGAACGTTGCTTTCTGCGCTGACTGCTTGCTGCAGCCAGGAAGCCACAGAAAACTAGCAAGTGCCTGCCTGCCTCAAGTAAGGTGCTTTCTGCTGCTGTTGCTGCTGCTTCTTGCCTCGTGTGTCCGCGCCTGCTTCCTGCCATCTGCCGCCCGTCTACCGCTTCCTGTTCTTTGCAGAATTCGGAGGAAGGGACTGAGTACCTTAGGTGCCTACCTGCCTGCCTACCTACCTGGGACGGGATGTTGTTGAGGCAGGTGCGGAACCTGCGGCTTCCCCTCGCGCCTGTCATTTGATAGACCTAAGATGAACTCTGCCCGAGATGGAAAGAAGAAGCAGAAGGTTCCCGATGTCGTCGTATTTGCCCGGTCCTCGCTCGTGTGCTTATCGCCGTCGCCGTCGCCTCCCCGATGCCGTCTCCGCCGGTCATGTCGGATGTCTTTGGGCCCCCCTCCTCTCCTCTGCTGTCGTCGCCAGTGCACGTCAACTCCATGGAAGGTTCCTCGTCACCACCAACACCACCATCACTGCACAGCCAACACCCCTCCCGTCCCTCGCCTGGACACCGACCACCACCACCGTCCTGGCTGCCGTCGTCGCCGACACGCACGCTCACCACCACCTTCTCGATGTTTTCCTAGCACGGATGTCCATGGAAACAGCTCCCAGTGACACTTCAGCTGCCGTCATCGCCCCTCCATCTTCCGTCGCTCGCGCCCACTTTGCTTCCTCAAGCAAACAGCTTCAAGACAGCCATCCCCAGGAACCCAGGGACCCAGGGATCTAGCTACGCAGGCTTCGTGGCACCGAATGCATCCTGCCGAGTTCTCTCTGCGTCCGTATCCGTCCAACTCTGTCTTTTGTCTCCGCCTGCTGCTCAGTGCTGCTACCCCTGCGGAGGGTCGCAAGTCAAGTCAGGGCAGCAAGACAAGGCGCCAGCGACGGCACGAGACAGACAAGGAAAAGCCAGCCAGCGAACGAAGGGCAAGGTTCCTGGCGGGCTTGGCTTGCCCAAACTGAAAGTTGCAAAGTCACTGCCAACAGGTTACTGGCAGTCAGTCGTCGGTCCTGGCCCTGTCTGGCTGTCTGTATCTGTCACTCTGTGTCTGCCCTACTGCACTACATCTGGATCCATGGCCTTTTTGACCGAAACCCACTGCCACCTTGCGCAGAGTGACAGACAGATGGAAACCACCGCACCAACAATATCCGCCGTCAGCAACAAGCATCAGCATGCGACTCTGCTCGAAGTCAAGTCAACCCACCAGAAGCCTCCATCGCATCCTCGGGTGCCCGGCCAGTCACAGTCACAGAACGCCTGTTCCCCATTTAACCACCACCGCCTTTGACTTTGACCTCGTCAACCTCGACCGTCCACCCCCAGCCTTCTGCCAATCGCCGTCCGTCCCTCGACCTTTCATCCCGTGTGCCTGGCTATACTCGAACCCACGGACGGCCATTAATCCAGGAGTCAGAACATCACATCTCCTGGACCTGAGATACATCCTGGCCGGACCTGATCCAGTCAGCCCAGCCCAGAATCGGTACCTTACGTCTGGCCCTGGCCGCCCTGGCCGCCCTGTCACCTTCGCCAACCACCCCCCTGGCCCCGGCTTTGGAGTCACCACGTTCTCCTCCTCCTCGCAGACGCCTCGTCGCTTGCTGTGCCCGCTAGCCAGCCAGCCAGCCAACCCACCAGGCAAGGTACTTTACGGCGGCGCTGGATGGATACGGTCTGCGCTACGGATGCCTTCGACGCTGTCCACCACCACCACCACCGCCAACCGACACCCACCGCCAACCGACACCACCGCCTCTTCCGTTTTCCACGAGTCCGTCAGAAAGCCGCCGACTGCGTCGACAGCTTCCCTCTGCCCTCGGCTTCCCGCTCACGGACCGCAAGCACTCCCATTTCCCACCATCCCGAACATTATCGCCTCCCGTCCGTCGTCAGTCCGTCTCAGTCTGCGAGCCCCCCAACCGCCCGGCTGACTGGGATTCCACAATCAAACCGTCCGACTTTGATGGTGCAGGAGTGTACTCCGTACCGTCTGTACCCCTTCCCCTTGTACCTCCCGCCAATCGACTCCACCGACACCACTACCGCCGCCAGCTCCTGGTTCTGACCCTGACCCTGGCGCCTGGCCCTGACTGTGGCCCTGGACCTGGCCTGCCCGCCCGCCCTTGTGTCCACCCAAGGCCGTCTCGTACCGCCTGCCCTTCTGCTCGCTTTGAGTGCCATTAACGGCCATCGTCAACTACTTACCAATCCTCCCTCGCACCTCGCAGCCGACGCTTTTCCTCTTTCTTTCCCTCTCCAGGTCCTCGACATTCGTCCACCTTTCCGTCTTCTATCGGAGCCGACCTCTTTGAGCTCTCTTGACCGGCAGATCATACATCGGCCCAGCAACAACCACAACGGTTCTGAATACCTACCTGAATACCTTCCCCACAACTCTACGTTCAGCGCTCCGCCGCCTTGCGCTCGGCATTCAACCGATCATCGGTCAGCAAGCGCAACAAACGCACTGAAAACCGGCAACTCTCGAAATCGCAGAACCAGGAACGGAACAGACGCAAAGCATTTTGTGCATCTTCGCCTCCTCCTGCTCCTGAAATCGAGCTCCTCCAGAAGGCCGGGAACCCGTCACCTCGGATCTTGGTTGGCATTGGAACGGACTGCATTGGCTCTGCGATAGCCCACAGACGCTCCCACCCAAATTCGCCGACCTGGTGCGCCGGATCCCCCCAATACGCACCCCCCTCAGAGGAGGCTGGTTGGCTGGCTACTCCAACCTACCCAGAGCAGACTCCGCCCAGCTCTCGACACTACGTTCCGCTAGACGTGAACGAACGCAAGCAGGCGCAAAGCCAGAGGCAGGGGGAAGAAAAGTCAGCGAAGAACCGCTGGGAACCACTTTGCTGCAGCCAGCAGGGTCAGATCAGGGCACGTCTTTCATCATCGACCATTCATCGCCACACTCCCCTGGCAGTCCTTTTCTAGAGCCGCCTGCCCCTCGCCCTACCAACTTGTCTCTCTCCTCTTCGTCCTCCACTCAACCACGCTACCTTTACCGACCGTACCGTAAAGAGTACTCATACCGGCCTTACACCTTGTCCAACAAACCAAACCACCCCACCCAGGTCCAGGATTCATTATCGACTCGCCGTCGCATTTCTACCACAACTCGTCCACCTTTACCTCTTCACCTTTGTGGTTCACGACATCTTTGTGTGTCGCTCCTCGAACCTAAGCTGTCGTCAGCACCGCCCACAGTTTGGAAGAAGAACCCCTCGCTTCCGGAGATACCTGAATGACTTGATATAACCTTTTTCATTCTCTTTTTTGTTTCCTTCTTCTCCCCCTCACCTCCGCCCTCCAGCCTTCTCCGCCCGCACAACTTCGGCTGAAATAACCCTCACCCACGCCTCCGCAGGCTCTTCTCTCCGCACGCTGCGTATTCGAGTAGTCTCCTAGCCTCGCAAGCTTGCGTGCACACTTATTTGACGGTTGCGATATCCCACCGAATCGCCGCCCATACTGCTTGCTCACGCAGGCTCCTCAATACACATCATGGCTGCCGCATTCAGACCAGTAAATTCGCCGCTTCCCGCTGAAGCCAAGGCTGACGACAAAATGACGACGTCGCCCACTACCCCGAGACCCAGCACCGCACCGCACCCCCAGACGCCGCAGACTATTCCAGAGGAGGTGAAGACGCCAACGAAGGCCACCTTTGGCAGTGGCAGCGGCGGGTTGGCATCACAAAAGCCGCTGCCTAGCTCACCATTTCCGCAGGCTGTCCAGGTCCCCGAGAGTGCCGAAAAGGTCAAGACACCCACGAGAGCAAACTCGCAGCATTCAAGGAAATCAAGAGACTCCGAGGACGTCGACATGGACGAGTCAGATGGCGAGGCTGGCGAGGATGGCGCAGGGTCAGACGATGACAGCGTCAATGCCGACGGTACTAGGTCCAGCAAGAAGAAGAAGTCGCAGCGATTTTACTGCACCGACTATCCACCCTGCAACCTGAGCTTCACGAGAAGCGAGCATTTGGCGAGACACATTCGGTACCGAGAATAACCCCACCCTCTAGTTGCACTAGTTGCTGATCGATCTACTTAGGAAACACACTGGCGAGAGACCATTCCAGTGCCACTGTTCGCGACGGTTCTCCCGGCTTGACAACCTGCGACAACACGCACAGACGGTGCACGTTAACGAGGACATCCCGATCGACTCCCTGGCAGCCACCGGCGCGCGATTCCAAAGGCAAATGCGCACCGAGCGCGTACGTCAGCAGGGTGGTAGAGCCCGCTCGTCAACCGCCGGCAGTGCATCTGGCCCGGTAAGAGGACACTCCAAGTCCCTGTCGACATCCAGCATCGCCAGCGTCGGCTCCATCGGCCCTGCCTTTGGTGGTGTGAGGGATGACCTTCGCAGGCGGCCCCCTCCCCTGGTCATGGCCACCGACCCCCGGTCTCGACTTTCCCTTGAGTCGTACCGAAGCGATGGTCCTTACGGCTACCGCCCTGTATCGCCGACCGAGTATGGCACGCCAACTTCCGCAACGTTTTCGACGACTGGGCAGAGCAGTCCGCGATGGTCTGGCATTGCGTCTCCTACCACCTCCCACTCTCGTTCCCAGAGCATGTACTCTTCGGGTTCCAGGACTCCAGGACGTCGTCTCAGCGTTCCCTCGGGTGCAAACCCCTTCCAGTCGCCTCACGGAGGACCGGTCAACCGGGTCATGTACGGCGGCCCCGTGAACGCCTCCAACAACGGTGCCTACTCCCCGGCCGCAAGCAGCCATCTGGCCTCTCCCACAACACCGACTTCGGGCTGGTCTGGCCGACGGGACTCGACATCGTCCAATGCTGATGAAGCCTGGCGCCGCCGCACCTGGCACCCTGATACCAGGAACTTCAACACGAACACCAGCCACCTCAGCAACGTCTTGACGCCCGGCCAGATCCAGCCAAACCCGGCACCGCCCATCGCCAATGTGACAAACCAACAGCAGACCCTGCGACTGCCTGGTATTGAGTCCTTTGACCCGCTGCCATCCCGACAGATTTCGCCGCCGAGGCGCATTCCGTCTCCCATGATGGTTGATGAAGCCGCTCACCCACCGGCACTTCTTCCGGGATCCGATGCGGCTGCCGACGGCCGAAGGAACGTCGCACAGTGGGACATGGGGCTTCATCGAGGCCTCACGAGACTGGACATCACCAACACGACGCCGCCTCGCGATAGCGCCGGTGCGTGGGCGAATGAGGTGAACCAGGCGGTGCAGGCACAGGCAGAGCAAGTGCGGCTGAACCCACCGACTGTGCGGTTTGAAGTTGAACCGCCATCGTACTCAAACTCGAGCGCGTTCACTCGCAACCACCACCACACCATGTCGATGCCTTCAATCGCATCCAGAGAGACCAAGCGACATGGTTGGTACCATGGACCTACCAACAGCCACGTTCATGGCCCTCGACCCGAGGCACATATCCATGAGCCCCGTGGTCCGCACGTCAACAGAATGATCCACCCCAACATGAACCATTTCACCGGCTTCCCTGCCAGGCAGGCCGATCCGCAGCCACCCCAGCAGCAGCAGCCGGGCGCCGATCGGACTGGCAATCCTGATCCCCTGAGGCGTCTGGAGGCGTTGGTTGCCGTCGCCACTAGCGAAGGCACAACCGCCGCGGCCTACTAGGCCGGCCACTTATCATATATCACGAATCTCTTACCATTCTCCACGGCATGGTTTACATACGCTACGACTGATGACCTTTTCATATCTACATGTCGGCAAGGAGCATCGAACACTCTGCACGATATACGGTCGCTTTTCACTCATGATATCCCGTTTTACCGGTTGGTGGGCAATTTGTATCTTTTTCTCCGTTGGCGTTGTTACATAGCGTTGCTTTGGTATGTTTTGGTTGGGGCGTCGCCGCCCGCATCTCTCAGCTCACCCCGTTTCTGTCGCTTATTTCTGTTATGGTCTATCTTGATATCTGGACTTTTGTCCGCTTTCTGTCTTGTGTCGGGGCCGGTTGCGAATGTTTTCCAGTTTTACAGTTTCATCTAGAGCTATCTGTTTGGCCTTTTCTTGATTCCCCGTAACGCTTGCTCACGATCAATGAGATACCCACTCATTATGGGATGCTGAGGTGGTGGATAGTAATATGTCGCTCTTCTGGCGGTTGGAGTCGGGCATCTCATGTCCGCCTGCGAGTCTGGCTGGGCTGGGAACTGGAAGGATGGACAGGTGGGCTAGATACCCGAGCTTGGTTTTCCTCTAGTTTGCGAGACCAGGATGATGCTCAAGACTTTTTTTCTTTGGTGGTTGATGGATGGTTCCGAGGCCATCGCATGAGGGCGGCATACATCTGTCTGTAGGGCGTACAATTGGCAGGAATAACGACGCATATGCTTTGAAATGGTTCCATTTGACACATGCTTCTGTGACTGTGGTGTATTCCGTGCCGTCATAGTGCTTATCGGTAGACTTATTTGCTTGTGATCCAAGGGTTCTGCTAGGCTTGAAGAAGATGGCCAGAGGTCTGCCAGCCTTTATGCATGATGATGTTGGCGTCGGCGGTAGTGGTTTGTTCTGGAACCAATCAAGGGCGTTGGCGTCTGGGCGATCCCAGAGATTGTCGCGGGGTTAAGGCGCTAGATTAGCTGACGCCCAGGCTGCAACTGGTGGCGGATGAGGGGTCCACGGGTGTTATCCGGCTTGCTGGGAACGCCGATCGGCGTGGTTCCACCCCCCGCCCGCCGCGCCGTTTGTGGGGGCCTTTCGGGGTTCAAGTGTTGGTCTGGGGTTTGGGCCGAGAGCGCCGGGGACGGGGGGGGGGGGGCAACGGAAGGGGGATTTTGGAGGTGTAAGCGCTATGTTTCAGGAAGCGCTTTTGGTGCTGGGATGATGCAGATTGTGATGGGATGTGCGGATTGGTGAGGAATGCGTCGCTGATGTGAGATGTCGCGGGGGGTGGGAAGGCGGTGAGGGTTGTGCAGTTGGGCAGATATTCCTAGAATTAGGTCAACGTATCGAAATGCTTCACTGGAAAAATTCTTCACTTTCGATGGCTTATATACGAAGCCAATGTTTCCGCAACAATGGAGATATTGATGAAACTCGCCGCCCTTGTCCTCTCCCTCCCCACGACCGCAGCAGATGCGGGCATCTCACGATGCCACCCCTCCAAATTCACCTTCCCCCCTCTCCCCGGCGCAGTCCACGTCCGTACCACCGCCGCCGTCGTGCGGAATTACACCGGACACCCGGGATGGATGCCCGACGCCGCCGTGTCCGTGCCCCCGTCGGGCGTGGCGCCGTTCTGCAACGTCACGGTGTCGTACGCCCATCCGGGGCATGACTTTGTGGTGAGTGTGCACGTCTGGCTCCCGCTGGACCGGCAGGCGTGGAATGGCCGGTTCTTGGGCGTTGGAGGAGGTGGGTTTGTGGCGGGGGATGTTGATGGGGATTTCATGGCTGCTGGGGTAGAAGAAGGGTATGCTGTTGCGGCGACGGATGGGGGCCATTGGAAGGGGGTCCCGGTCAAAGAGTGGGCGCTGAAGGGGAGGGGGAATTTGGATTGGGATAGGTTTGTGGAGTTTGCGTATCGTGGGGTGGGCGAGATGGGGGGCGTTGGGGGTGGGATTGTGAGGGAGTTTTATGGGGAGAGAGAGGAGAGGAGGTATTTTGCTGGGTGTTCGACGGGGGGGCGGCAAGGCTTGGTGCTGGCGGCTAGGGATGAGGGGTGGTGGGATGGGGTGTTGAGTATGTGTCCTGCGGTGGATTTTCCTGCTGTTGTGGGAGGGATGATGCGGCCGCAGGTTGTGATGGCGGAGATGGGGTGGTGGCCGGGCGAGTGTGAGGTGAGGGAGGTTGTGAGAGGGGTGGCGGAGGGATGTGATGCCGCGGATGGGGTTGTTGATGGGATTATTGGGAGATTGGGGGAGTGCGAGGTTGATTTTGAGGCCTTGGAGGGACGGGGGTTTGAGTGTGGTGGTGAGAAGGGACGGGTTGACGGGCGGACGGTGGAGGTTTTGCGAAGGGTGATGAGGGGGCTGGAGGACGAGGAGGGGAGGGTTGTGGATGGCGGGTATGGTTATGTTCCTGGGGCGCCGCTGGCGGGATTGCTTGGCTTGATGAATGTGAGGTGTGAGGGCGACGACGGGTGTAGGGGGGTGCCGTTTGAGGTTGCTGAAGATTGGATTAAGTACTTCGTCAAGAAGGATCCCGAATTTGACGTGGGGAATATGACGATGGAGGAGTTTAGAGATGTGTTTAGGCAGGGCGTGGAGGAGTTCGCGTCCGCGATTGGGACGTCGCACGACTTGCGGAGGTTCAGGCAGCGCGGGGGGAAGGTGTTGATGTGGCATGGGATGGCGGACCAGACGGTGATGGTGCTGGCGGCGAGGGCGTTTTACGAACGGGCGAGGAAGCTTGACCAGAGTCGCGGGGTTGATATTGAGGAATACTGGAGGTATTTCGAGGTTCCGGGGATGAACCATTGTAGTCCGCTCTACGGCGGGCCGTATCCGTGGGATGCGATGGAGAGGTTGCGGAAGTGGGTTGAGGAGGGAGTTCCGCCGCAAGATCTCGAGGCGAGGACGGTCGAGGAGGAGGATGGGAGGAAAGTGTTTGGGAAAAAGGTTAGGAGGGTTTGTGTGTTTCCGAGGGAGGGCGTGTGGGATGGAAGCGGGTGGCAGTGTCTTCAGCCTGGTGAGAAGCTGGATGAGAAGAGGGAGGAGCTTTGAGATGAGCAGCAGAATGGATATCATATTCGTTAAGTCTCATTTATGAACCATTTATACATAATCGACAGTCTTGCTTTTCGGGCGGATGAATCTATTTAATCAGGAGGAGAACTACCTCCATTAAGTCAAACATTTGTTTTATCTTGACAATTCTACTAATCCTATCGTCCTCGTCGTTCCCATTTTTGTCATGGTATGCCGGCTACCCGCTCGAATAGCAAGGAATATCTACCCCGATAGCAAAGCTCGTAGTCGATACTCGGAAAAAAGACAACGAAGGAAAGTCTATCTTTACGCTTGACTTTTGTATCTGCTTTTCCTTTCATGACTGAAGACATTTGAACCTCATAAGCTTGTCTCATGCTTAAATTTTAAAGCAGCATCATTCAATGTCCCATAGCTTTCGCGCGTTACTCCGGAAAAGCTTCTCCCGTAGCTCCTCGCTCCCATCGCACCATCCCACCACCTTTTCCTCAAACGGCTTCGCATCCCATCCCCGCGATTTCGTATGAGGCCAGTCCGAGCCGAAGACAACTCCCGCGCCGTTACGCATGCGAAAAAGCGCCTTTGTCAACGACTCCAAGTTGGAGAAGTCTGCATCTGCAGAGAATAGATACGGGGCGGATATTTTGACGTAGACACTAGGATCTTCCATCATGCGACACAGCGCCTCCCAGCCTGGCTGTTTTGACGGGTCCAGTGGCAGGAATGCTGGAGAGCCGAAGTGCTCAAGGACAACCTTCACCTGGAGTTCGGGGATCAAGGGCTGTACGTGATCAAGGACCTCCATGTCGGCGTATAATCCGATTGACCATGTTTTCAAAGGCCGAAGCTTTTCGGCATACTGGCGCAGCACGTTCTGAATGTCGCTCTTCGAGAGAACAGTCTTGGAAGATCTGAGGTTGACTCGAACACCTCGGACACCAAGGTCATGCCACGCTTTGAGAGTCTGAAGCTCGACGCGCTCCGGGTCGAAAGCGACGACGCCGCGACCCCTAGCCGGCCCTGTCTCTTTGAGGGACTCAAGCACCCACGTATTGTCGTCGCCGTACGTTGATAGCTGGACAAAGACCATATTTGGCAACCCGAGGCGGTCAGCGTTCTCGAGTGCTTGGCGCATCGTCGCTTCTTTAGGCGGCTTGGTGCTAGCGGCGAACGGATATCTGATGGGGTCGATGATGTGGACATGACTATCCCAAGACCCTTCTGGAGGGATAGGCTTGGATAAGGAGCTGAAGGCTCGATATCGAGATGGCCCAAGGAGGTTAGGGGTAGCCCAGCGCCTGCGGGGCTTCAGCGCGGAAACATGTCTCGAGTATGCGCCACAGCGTATGTGGCCAAAAGCTGCCAGCATCTTAAACCTTCATTATTTATGGAATTGCTTTGAGTCTTCAATGGCGTAGATTATGCGACGCAGTAATCACATAGGACGGACGTGAAGACAAAACGATAAGCTGCGGGAAACGAGGATCAAGGTGCTTACTCAGTGCTGGGCGTGGCCGGGATGGTTGTCGGGCCGCAGAAAAACTACTGAAAATCCCAGGTCTCACCGAGGTGCAATCTGATTTGCGAGTATTCTCATGTTCCATTCCCATTGGGCAGGACCGGGGTTGGTAACATAGGGGCTTATATAACCACATGGACATTTGTACGAAGGATCATGTTGAGAAAACAGTTGAACATATATGATATCTAATAGGTATATAAAATAAAAGTGCTTGATGGTCAACATTCCTTCAGAACCTGTCTCAACACCGCCCGGACTTTGCGTCTTTCAGCAGGAGCTCGTTGATAGGCAGAAGAATATTGATCATCCCCGCCCAACAAACATCAACTGATGTCTCTATGGCCATTGCCTCTACTATCATATTCGACTCTTCTGTCATCATGGTCGTCATCGTTGTTGCATATAATTACCATCCACCCAGTCCACTCAGGCAGCCAACACCCGTCCAAATACCAAAACTTCAAAACAGTAAGATGGCGGGTGTGTGGTCATCAAGAAACAGTCTATAAAGTGCCAATCTGATTTGCTACTTCATATACGCCTTGATCACCTCCTGTTGTGCTCCCATGCCGGCAGCTCTTGCGGGCTAAAATGTTGGTTGTGACTGACCGGTGGCTTCCACTCGACTGGTGCTTCATAGACTTGATGCGGTGGAGGGCTTTGGTATTGAGGAGCGTATGAAGGAGCATACGAAGGAGCCCTGTCTCCAACGGCCTGTTCCCTAGCCCGCCTCCGTCGACGCAAGAAAAAGAACAGCCACACACCAGACGCTCCGAGGGCTAAGCCACCGATTGATGCGCCGACGGCCGCCCCAATCGTTACGCCGCGGTCGCTCTCTGCGTCTGGCTGGTTGGTTGGGCTATTCGTCGGGCTCTGCACGGCGCTGCTTGTGATTATGGGGTTCTGGCTCGGTAGTCTCGACGGGTCTAATGTGGCAGCAGATGTTACTGCAGATGTTGATGCCGATGCACTGAGCTCGGATGTTGTTGTTGTGGACGCTATCGAAGTTGTCGCCTCGACACCGATGGTTGTGATTGCGGTTGCAGATTCTACGGGATGCGTCAGCCGGGTCGATAATGATGAGAAGACACGTCAACCTTGACATGCACGAATAGCAACTGAACTTACGTTGGAAGAACAAGACGTTCTGTTTGGCGGTGCAGTTGACCTGATCTTGGACCGAGTTGATGCAATAATACAACTCTTGCGTCGTACCTTGGCACTTGGCAACGCCTATCCCTCCTCCAACATTGTCGGTCTCTGGATTGATGCAGAACAACGGGCAGCTTGAACTTCGCCACGACCTGTCGGTGCAAGCTCCCCTCACGAGTTCCGTGGCACCATCCTTTTGCAACTCCGAGCCTGTTGCCTGGCACATGCCGTTAGAGAGGCAAGCGTAACCCTGCCCGCAGCAAGTTGACTCGGCTGTATCGTCTCGACATGGTGTATCATTGGGGGCAATGCTACCGTTGGGATAATAGCAGGCAGCCTCGATAAAAGCAGATGAAAATGAAAGGATTAAGATATAAGATAGCAAAATAACGGTAATCATCTTGAGGAATCAAGAAGTCCAGAACTCCCGGGCCTAGACTCTGATTCAACGACTAGCAAATACCATGAACTGCCGGAGTTGGGAAGAAAAATTGCAGAGGGAATCGATGGCACGGAAGCCAACGTCCTCACAAAGACATGACTAGCTTATGAGCATCTTTCCCTTGCGTCGGGGCTGTTGGTGCGGATGGGACCATTGACCTAGTCGCACCACGCAACCAACTGTGTGACTGCTCAACCCACCTCGGCCGCCTGCTGAATCTTGAATGAGCGATCCAAGTCACAAACAATTTCTTGCCAGAAAGCTCGCTCGCACTGTCTCTTTTCCAGCCAAATACAGTGCATTCTGCTAGAAAATAACTGTCGTTGGTTGTAGGCGCAACGGATACGATTCCGACCCCGTGATAGGTCAGCCAAGACAGCATCCATGTCAACACGATGGGGCTAATACGGCTGAAGACCGATTGAAGCCAGCGGTCCGTCCCGAGGATATGGTTCGGGCGTTAACTTGCATGTAGACGAAATTGGGCCGGCCGGCGGTTGGAGCGCGTTTGCAATCGATCGGGCGGAGGAGGTGACACCTTGATTTATGCTTCTTTTTTGTTTTTCTCGCCTGCAGCCTCGAGTCTACTGGGAACGACAGCTCGAAGTACATCAGGTGAATGCCGAGTTCGTCTCACGTAAACTGGTCAGGCAAAGAGAGTTTGTGACAAGTACACGGTTCTCTTGAGTCGGCACAACGGCACTAGCTCCAATCATGACGACGAAACGGAATTGGCCTGCCCCTGAGCAAACGCCAACGCGCCTTCCCGAAAAGGACAATGTATCCAACACCAACACAGCCGTTGGTTCCGCGCCCAGCACCGGGCAAAAGACCAGGAACGATCTTAACAGACCAGGGTCCGAGCCTCGTCTCATGCCACCGCCTCCCCATTAAGCCAGTGATGTTCCCCCGCCAAGGCTATTCCCGCAGGGGTCCTGTCCAGAGTTGCAAACCAACCGTCATGAGGCAAGGGTGGCTCCAAGCCGGCGTCTTCCCCCAACTGCCCCGTCACCCCGAACCTTAAGCGCCGAGCCCCCAACCTTCACTCCCCTCCGTTTTCCTGCTCCAAAAATAAGACACAACACCGACCGGAAGGGTTGATAAGGACAGAAATCCGGCCTGGCCGCTCGGCTCGAACGTCTTGAACCAACACACTCTTTCCTTTTCGTTTCATACTCCGAGTAAGGATGCTCCTCGCAAGGCGCAAAATGCCAGGCATCGTCCTCATCGGCCTGCCGGTCTCCATCATTCTCCTACTCCTCTGGCACACAGATGGCGGCATCCCCAGCCTCAGATCCTCAGCCCAGCTGCCAACACCAATAGACTGGAAGACAGAATCATCAGATTCCTACTTTTGGAAAACTGTCACGGTGCACAACCCGGCCCCGCAGCCGCTCCGTCCCCTCCCAACATCACCATCCGTCCGCTTCCCCCAGGTCCAGGCGACTTTCCCTCACGAATCAAGCGACCACCGCCGCGTTCGTGAAGAGCGTCAACAGACGGTAAAAGCCGCTTTTTCCAAAGCCTGGGCTTCGTACAAGGCGCGTGCATGGCTCTCCGACGAACTCACCCCTGTGTCGGGCTCGCGCCGCAACACCTTCGGCGGCTGGGCCGCCACCCTCGTCGACTCCCTCGACACGCTGTGGATCATGGACATGAAGGAGGAATTTGCCGACGCCGTCACCGCCGCTGAGACCATCAACTTCACGATGACCGACCTCCAGGAGGTCAACGTCTTTGAGACTACCATCCGCTACCTGGGCGGCTTCCTCTCCGCCTTTGACCTCAGCAACGACGTGCGCCTTCTTCGCAAGGCTGTCGAGGTCGGCGAGATGCTCTACAAGGCCTTTGACACACCCAACAGGATGCCCATCACGCGCTGGAAGATTAAAGACGCCATCGACGGCAAGGAGCAGTCCACGCCGAACGGCGAGCTCGTGGCTGAGATTGGATCACTATGCATGGAGTTCACCCGCCTCTCTATCTTGACCGGCGACCCAAAATGGTGGGACGCAACGCAGCGAATCATGGAAATCTTTGAGGCGCAGCAGAACAAGACCAAGATCCCGGGCTTGTTCCCACTAGTCGTCAACCCAGAGAAGAAGATCTTCTACGAAGGCGACGACTACACCCTCGGCGCAATGGCAGACTCCCTCTACGAGTACTTCCCCAAGATGTCCGCCCTCGTCGGCGGCCGCAGCGACATGTACCGCACCATGTGGGAAACCGCTGTTGAGCCCATGATCACCCACAACCTCTTCCGGCCCATGACGCCGGCGAACGACGACATCCTCATCGCGGGCCAGGCGCACGCCCGCGACTCCGGTGTGGAGCTGGAGCCCCAAGGCCAGCATCTCGTCTGCTTCCTCGGCGGCCTCTTTGCGCTCGGCAGCAAGCTCTACGGTCGCGCGTCCGAGATTGACGTCGCGAGGAAGCTTGTGGACGGGTGCATCTATGCTTACAAAGTCTTCCCGCACGGCATCATGCCTGAGACGTTCTACATGGTCCCCTGTCCCTCCAAGGAAGAGTGCGCGTGGGACGAGTCCCTGTGGAAGAAGCACGTCAAGCAGCGCAACGACAAGGGGGACGACGTCGAGCAGATCATCAAGGACGAGAGGCTTGTCAAGGGGTTCTCTGAGGTGCCGGACCGGCGGTACATCCTCCGCCCCGAGGCCATTGAGAGCGTCTTTGTGATGTACCGCACCAGCGGCGACGCGACGCTTCTTGAGTCCGCGTGGGATATGTTCACCTCCATCGACAACGCGACGAGCACGGATCTCGCCAACACTGCGGTGTGGGACGTGACGGCGGATGGGAAACCGCCGGCGAGCGACTCCATGGAGTCGTTTTGGATGGGCGAGACGCTAAAGTACTTCTACCTCATCTTCAGCGAGCCGGGACTCGTAAGTCTTGATGAGTTTGTCTTCAACACAGAAGCACACCCATTTAGACGATGGAAATAGTGCTCTCTTTTCGTATGTAAACTAGAACCTGTGTAATAGAACTCTTATGTACATCTATGTACTTACATTGCAACCTTTGTGTTAGCGAGTGTGTCTTGAGGGATGAAACAGTCCAACCTTCCAATTATCCATGTTCTACGCCCTTTCTGGCTTCCTACCATACACAACTTGCCTGCGAAGGTTAGTAACGAGATGCTTATTTGTTCTACCAAGGATCAAGGGACTACATTTCAGCAGACCTCTTCTGAAGAAAAGGAGTTGGAAAGATAGATAGGTAGACTTACACATTCCAATATGCGTGGATCTTCCTGTTCTTCAAGTCCATACGCGCTTCAGCACAGAGATCCAAAACCTCTTGCCGTGTCCATCGCAGGGCGCGTGTAAACAAGCCCAGGGACAGCCCCTCTAGTGCCAAGTCGAGGTTGACGTAATGCAGCATACCAATCTCCTTGAGCTTCTTCTCTTTAGGCCATGAGTTTAGCGGCCAGGCGAACCTCTTTACAGTGACGTCAACGAAGCCGGCGGTGCGAATGGCGTCCACATACTTCGATGGGCTCTCGATGGAACGGCCGATGGCATTGCCGGCCTCGTACATGGTTTCGTGCCAGCGCATGAGAGCCGGGGACTCGAAGAGAGTTTGGTCGATGCAGCCGATTGGAAGCACGAAACCTCCTGCCTCGAACCAGCCGCCGGGTTCCAAAGCCCTAGTAGCGCTAGTGAGCAAATGCGTTGAAGGGGCTGCAGGGCCCCGCAAACTCACTCATAAATCTTATGGATGATGCTGACTGGGTGAGAGAATGAACCTTCCATAGTCCGGCAAAAGATGAAATCGAAAGGTTTTGACCAGACCCACCTCTTCTCCAGATCATCAATCTCAAAGCTGCAATTGTTGGGTACCCTGGACAGCTTCAATGAGATCATTGCTTGAAACTTCGTGGACGTATGTAAGAGTACGCTTACCATTCTGGTTGGATCGGACTTAAGTCCACGCCAATGACCTACTTGTAGGTTAGCTAGAGGCACTGTTTACGTACCGCAGACGATAAGAACCTGTGCAGATGGGAAGGCGTCCGCTGTAACGAGCTTGTCAGTATATAAACCCTCTTGACGAAAGACATCGCAAACCCTTTAAACCAGTAACGTAGATTAGAGAGGAACTTACCGTAGTCGATGGCCCAAATACCAGTTCCAGTACCCATATCCAAGACGTTCTTGGCCGTCTTATGTGCTGGACATAGCGCTAGTTCACCGTCAAGTGTAAGGTTCCAGATGCGATGCTGCAACTCTATTTTCATCAGAACATGGACATTGGACCATGGGACTTGAAAGACATACCTAGACGGCTATTCTCTTCCTGATCACACCAATAAATATCTTGATTATGATGAGGTTTCCCAGAAGTAATCACTTACATCATCGTTTGGGTAGTTATACTCTATCAAGCATTAGCGTAGCAAACCTATAGTGAAGCAAGTGAAGACGCACTCCCTTCACTCATGGAATGGTAAGTCCTGCCATTCTCAAACTGGAATCTCTTGATTTCCGACTTAACAGAGTACAGCGACGCTCTCTCAAAGTCCTGGAGCCCGAGCAGAAATGTTAATGACAATTTCCTCATTTTCGGTGGATGCATTCGCAACACAGAGTCAGTCCAAGAGAAAAGTACTGACATCTTCTACACCCAACGCTTCGTCCACTTCAGTATCCTGCGCGTGTTCACGTCAATTGCACATATCGTTGCGCTGCGCACCTAGAGGCTTACAAAGTCAGGGTCCGGCCCATCTACATTCTGCAGGTCTGAGGTCTGCATGATCGCACGGTGTGGTCGATGGATGGGATTACAGACGCAATGGGAGGGAGAATGTTGTAAGTGTAGTCTCAAAAGTCAAATTCACATTGTTCAACAGCGACGCACAGCTCACTGAGCGCAAGCGGCATGAGGCAAACCAGCACCCGATTGATTGCAAGGACGAAGAAGGCGCGAGAAGAAAACTAATGGTGGGGGAGAGGACTAGCGGAAACCCAAGTAATGTGGCGGCGACGACGGCTCTTAATTGCTTACACGCTGTAGGACCAGAGCAGGGTTCCAGATCCCACGCACAACTGTCCCATCATGCGTCTCTCTCTTTTCCTTTCAACATCACCTGCCCTCACCAGATTGTACTTCTGACGTCGTACAGAGCTTAAATATGCCTACGGCAAAGCTACAGGTACTTGTTCATGGGGTTCCCGCTCAACTTGCACCAACAGCCAAGAGCCCGAACCGACGATGAATGCCCATTGGCCAGTATTTGCGGCGCCTGGGTTTTGCTCGAGCATGATAGGATGAAGACTGCTAAAAATGGGGTGACGATTGCGGCGAGGTACATCGACCTGCACTGAAAGGTGAGTTTCATTGCGGCGCGTTCCAGCCGAAATGCTGCAAACGGCTGAATTTGGGCTTGACAGGCTCCACTAGCCATCGGAGGACCGCCCGTCTCCTGATAGAACCAACAGAAGAAGATCACACCGCCTGTTTGGTAGGCCGAAGGGGGGGTCACACTCTTGATAGAATGAGTGGAGCATTCGCATCGCGATGAATGTGGTATTCATCAACGAGTTATCATTCCAATCCACCTGTGTCTGTATGGGTCGGATGGTTTCTGATGGGTCAGAACTTGCATCAACCGCTGTCCTCTATCGGCACCTTTTACCCCGATCACGGTGTACACGAGTACCGTCTCAGAGAGAGGGTCTGCCTCGGCAGCCTGACTCTGTGTTACCATGACTTCTACTATGTTGGTCGAGTTTCGATGTTATTGTTCTGTGCGACCCGGCCCACTTTATCTTTTTCAGCCTCAACCTGGGGAAGACGTAGGATCTTGCATGTCGGGATCGGTGCAGAGCGGTGGATGTGACGGTGCGAATGCACTACTATGGATGCCAATGAAAGAATAGGCCAGGCAGCGTGGATTCAGTCGAGCCCGGAAGGAATAAGTACCCGTACATATCTATGAATATAAATATGCAGGTATTCATTTATGCTTAATTACTGTTAATCCGTCTTTGTCAACGGGATGGGCCGCACTCCCACCGAACTCGAAAACGGCGACGCTCCGGGACTGTCACAATCGGCTTGTTCGCGCCAGATCATTGTACGTCTCCACCACATCTCTTTCGGACAACTTACGGATACTTGAACCATCCACTTCCAAAAAGGGGAAACTCTCGCCGCCATGTGCACGGCTTAATTTTATCACAGACACGGATACTAGTCGTGGCTCGGTTGCATCTCTTTTGATGGCCACGCGCGTCTGAATGGGGCCGATTCATCTCCCTCCGCAACTTGATTTGGAGCTTTTGAGGCTAAACTCTGCCAGCCGAGTCACCGACCCCGGGAAACCAGTCAGCGGCAGGCGAGAACGCCGACGGTCCCGCAGCGGCCCCGCGACCGTTAGTGGGATCGACGGTCGGCCAACGTGGAAACTTCGCAGATCCACAAGTTCAGGGCGGAAAGAGATGATCGTCTGCAGCCTATGTCGCCCGACGAGTCCGATCGCGAGATGAACCCGAGACATTCTCGGGCTTTTCTTTCTGTTTGTGTTTTCATGTTTGCTTGCCCTCGGCACATCGTGTGCAGCATGTCCGCAAGCAAAGACGGCCAAGTATTCTTGTGCCATGGGTTTCTCACCTCCGTGGAACACGCGGTGGTATCTCCGATATCACGGACGGGGCAATGGCACTCGAGTCGGGGGAATGTCACGGGAGAACAGGGAACTGGTGCTGTCTCGTGACTTTCTTGCGGACCCGGACATGGACAGGTATGGTTGAGCCACGTTTGAGGCCTTTAACTGACCAATATGCGCTGGAAATCTCTCCGGGAAACACAACATTGCCCCTGGATTCGAGGACAAACAGCAAACATGGACAGAAAAGCGAGCATACATTGCAGCCCAAGCCAAGCTGCAGTGCTGCCATCTTCACGATGATGCCATGGCTTCATTCCTCGGAGCCCAAGACGCGAAGCATGTGTAGGCGTGGGGGCCCAAAAAGTAGACCCGCACTTCGGCTAGCTATCATGACTCGCCCCTGTCGATGGCCTCCTTTGATGGGAGGCGGACGGCCTGCAAACCCTCCGTCCTTGGCCTTAATCTGAACCGGGCCACTCAGCAGCATGGCTATGCACTCAATGTCTCAACGCAGAATCCGGGGCGGTGCTGTCATTGGCCCTGTTCGCCATGTGGCCACGCCCTCTTTTGCTTGGAGCCGAACTTCAGCTGACAGAGACGTCAAAGGGCAAATAGGATGTCATAGCACAAGGATGGCGCCAACAGACAGACGGTCAACCTTGCCACTGTTTCAATATCCGAGCGTTACGAGCCATCAGAAAGCCACAACCGAGCTTACGAAATTAAACGAAAGCTTCCATCCGAGAAAGGGCGAAGTAAGGAAGAAAAGAAAAAAGTTGGCTGTGAAGTTGCTCCGCCCACGGCCCATGATGCATGGGCTTATCGGCCGGTAGCGAACCTGTTTCCTAATTCAGCCCTCGCTTGTGGAGCAAGGTTGCAATGCAGGCCCCCGACGTGTCCAATATTTCGCGCTGATGCTCATGTCACCCACGTTGATCTGATGGGATCTCAAATGTTTGAAATATAAGACCACCCATAGGATGACAATTCTTTGGGAAGCGGGATTTTGCTTTCTGCGCGGGTTTCCTGGAGGGTTTCGCTTTCGTTGACAACTTGCCCGTCATGGTTGGAATCACCCTTTCCCGTACCCTGGGGATTTTCTTAGGCCTCCTGACGGCCGTCAGGGCTGAATCCGCAACATGCAGCCAAGTCTCAACTGGCACTAGCATCCAGAAGTTCCAGGGACTCGACATCGGATACACCTCAGAACAGCTGAACTACTGGTAGGTTAACACTGTTTCTGGTGTCTGTTTTCTGTTTGTTCTGACGGGAGACATAGGTCCACGGCTTGCGGTAACCTTAAACCTGGATGCATCTTGGTCCCCACCAGTGCCGAAGAGGTCTCCGCCATCGTCAAGGTTTTGGGAACCAACAACGAGACTTTTGCCGTCAAGTCAGGAGGACACAACCCCAACAATTACTATGCCAGTGTGAAAGATGGCCCACTGATCTCCACTAAGGGACTCAAAGAGGTCATCTACGACAAGGCGAGCAACACCGTCAGTGTGGGACCTGGAAACAAGTGGGAGGATGTCCACGCCGCTCTCGATGGGACCGGGGTTACAGTCGTCGGTGGCCGCATTGGAAACGTTGGCGTCGGCGGATATCTGCTTGGAGGTACGACGAAAAGTCTGAGGACATTCATCGAGGGTTGATGCTGATATTGATTTGGTTTAGGCGGACTCAGCTTCCTGAGCACTCAATATGGCTGGGCATCAAACAACATTGTGTCGGTCGAGATGGTTTTGGCCAATGGAACGATTGTCACCGCATCGAACACGACGAACCCCGACCTTCTTGCTGCTATGAAGGGTGGTGGCAATGCGTTCGGCATCGTAACTCGATATGTGTTGCAAGCCCATCCCATCGGCCAGGTCAGGAATACTCATTAGCTGGGACTTTGGAATTGGCGCGTTGGCTGACACAA